TGGCCCAGACCTCTCCTTCCCGCACCCTCTGAAACAACCAAAGAGCTCTCACAGCGCAGCCTGGGGCTCCTTTCTCTCTGGTGGGAATGTGACAAGGGAGGGGTGCTCCCAGAGCACATACCTGAATGGGGGCTCGAGGCAGCAGCTGGGCTCTCACGGCATCCCCTTCCAAAAGGACTGCCCAATTCCCTTCTTTAAGCTTGTGTGACAGGAGCTGGGAGACACCTGTGAAGGGTCCCATTGTCCAAGGGGTGGTGGAGGTCTGGAGGGGTGTTCAGGGACCCTCTGAGGGTTTCGCTGTCACCTCTCTTCACAATAACCAGCACCCGTGGTGGGGTGGGCAGTGGCAGCAGACGCTTCCCTGGTTGGCTCATGGCCAGGGTGCCAAGTGCCTAGACATAGGTTTCCTGTCAAAGCCCAGGGACACCGGAGCCCCATCACCTGACCCCTGGGAGCCTGCCTCCCTTGGATCTGGGGTCCCTGGGAACCAACCCACACAGCCAACAAGCCCTGGGGTGTTTCAGAACCAGGCTCTAGAGGACCACACGGGCCGTCTCCCTCCACCCTCCCATGGCCCCCTTCCAGAAGGGGAGAAGCCCAGGGGAGGGGCTTGTCCAGACCCACCTGTCATACCCCAGGGAGCCTGGCTCTGCCGAGACAGTCCTGGCACCATCACTCGCTGTCACCCCTCGCCCCAGCCACCCCTTCTGCCCACCGTTCGCTCAACACACACAAGATGTTCCCACTCAGCCTATGTCTACCTCCCAGACATACATCCATCCCTGGCCACCACCCAGGGTCAGGGAGATGGGAGTGGCCCAGCAAGAGAGGGCACCAGGCAGAGAATTTAAAACAATAACAAAAGCAGCTGAGGGTCATCTGCTTTCTATTATCACCGCACGTGGCAACCCCAATCCCCGTCAGGGATGACACCCCGCTCCCCATAGACAGACCTTGGTCTGTGACAACGTCCCCAACAACCGCGGCAACGACACAGAGCTAGACTGATGCATGTGGGCGCTTCGCCCGAGCTCACATGCAGGCCTCCGTCCCCTACCTCGTGTCAGGTGTGAGAGTTTGCTCGAGAACTGCGGCCACCACGGCCCCGTCAGGCACAACCTGTTTGAGGGCAAGTTCAACTGCTGGGGTTTTGGGGATGGACTGTTGCCGATCCTGGGGCCCCGCAAAGTGGGAGAAGCCGCATGGAGTCCCTCCCGTCCCGCCATTGCACCTGACCGCCAGGGACCTGATTCGAGTTTAAAATCTAACACCGAGAAGAAACAGAGTCAAATTGCAGAGGCTGAAGGTCTTGTCCGCTAAGTGTAAATTTCAGTGACGATGGGAGTTTCTTCCTTTTAAAGGGTTCATTGTTTTAAAACTAAAGCAATGAATCAAGAAAGCAATGATTATGACTGATCATTACCAGGTTATGATGAAAACTGGTTTTGTGGTGTAGAGGAGGGCAGTGTTTAAACCGACCACTGCAAATGTCAAACTCACAGGCATGGCACTGCCACCTTGACAGCCTGGGCAGCCTGCACTGCGGAACTGGCCTGGCATCACTCTCTCAAAGTCCTAACCCTCCAAGCTGGGACTCAGGGCCTCGTCTGTCTGTCCCATCACACTGGCCACTCCCAGGGCCAGGCACCCTGGCTTACACCCAGCACATCATGAGCACCCACAAATGCTAACCACAAGTGGCTGACTTTTAGTTCATCAGATGAAGGGAGAAAATAGGGTGTTTGGCAGAGCAGGTGAGCTCAGCCATTCCTGGGGCACGGCACCCCCGCAAGGCTGCCCAGCTCCAGGTCCTGTGCTGGGGCCCCTCTGCCCCGCTTGGAGAGGCAGAAAGCATGCCCCCCAAAAGCCACAGAGGCAGGACAGGAATTTCCTCCCTGCAGAGCCTCCTTCCACCTTCAGCCCAGCCTGAGCCAACTCCTGAAACGTCACTGCAGAGACGATCACATTGAAAAGCCCACTGAGCGTGTCCATCTGCCCCTTCCCCAAAGAACAGATACGGGGACCAAGTTGCAGAGCTGGAAGGTCCTCCTTTGCCCTGGGGGCCCCACGGCACCAGACCTCTCTCCATGCTCCTTAACTGAATGCAATACAGTCCCAGGATGTGGGGACTACCCAGGGGCAGAGATGCCTCTGCTTGTACCCCCAAATGGGGTAGATAACTGGGGGAAACGAAGCCGCTGGAGTGGGGTAGGGCAGGGGGAGGGGCCCTGATCCATGTTCACACAGGGGTAGTGGGGAGACGCCATCCTGCCTGTGACGAGACTGCCATGGCAGCCCTGCGGTCATGATCTGCTCCCTAAACATCGGGTTCTCAAAGAGAAAGGAAGGAAAGTGACACCAACGCCACCCTCCTTCCGACTGATGCCAGCAAGAGACACACAGGGCAGCACTGGGCAGCGTCTGAGCCCCTCAGACGACAGAGTCAGGGGACCAGCATCCCCAAGTCCCCATGGGGACTCAGGAAAAACCCCTCAGCCATGGCATCCTTGCCTAACGAGTCTCCCCTGATGGGGGCCGTTCACAGGTGTCCCCACCTGGCTTGCTGTCCAGGTGAGCAGCGCTCGGTGCGCCCAAGGTGATCCCTGCCCTGAGCCCGGCTTCTCGCCGCTCCTCAGATGACGTGGGGCAGAGGCAGCCCCTCAGCCGTCCACCCTTCCAGCTGCTTTCCGCCTGTCCAGAGTGCAGTGGGTGTGCCTCCCTTTCAAACCACCTCGGATGCCCATCCTGACATGCCTACTGCAGGCGGCACCCCAAGGCTGACCCCAGGTTGCAGGAGTCAACGTGCCCCCAAGTCCTGAGCAAATTCATCAATTGTCTGCAGGCCCTGCAAGCCTGGAGTTTGGAGAGCACCCCTCTGGGATGCTCAGGGGGTACTCAGAGCACCCCCAAACTCCACAAGAGCAGGAACAAGCTGAGGCACTGGCTCAGACCCCAAACCCCAACACCAGTCAGTACCAGAACCCACAACCTTCCCTGGTCTCATTTTGGTTAATACGCAAACCAGCCTCTCAGTCCATGCCTTTGGGGAACCAGTGACAAGCACACAGGGGGCCTGCGTCCTCATTGTGGGCAGCAGTAAGGGCCCCAGCCCATCCGCTGAGGCTGGTTACAGACGTGCCCGAAGCCAAACACCTTCCTGAGCAGCCTGGCGTGGGGTTATCCCAAAGCCCCACGCACCTCACACCTCCGCGTTCTCCCCTCTCTGCCCCCCCCCGCCCCCAGCCATTCTGACCCCCATCCTCAGCCATCAAAGCTACTGGCTGTGGGTCAGCTCAGCATCCTGCAGCCCCAGAGAAGCCCGGCCCCGGTGAGGTAGGACGGCACCCCGTTTGATTTGGTTTATCCCAAATGAAGTCATGACTGTTTGAAAAGCTTGTGAGTGATCTTGGCCCATAGGGAAGCTCTCTGCTCCCCAAGACCTGTCCCCTCTCCTGTTCCCGGCAAATCCCTCCTTCCTGGCCAGAAGGAGTTTGGTGGGGGACTCAGGGGCTGCTCCTTCTATGGCTAGGGGACTTGGGGCCGAATGACCCCAGAGCGTTCACAGCCGGCCTAGGTGTCTCCTTTACAAACGGGGACGGACCTTGATCTTCAGCGGAGCCCTGCCCGCGGGGTGGCGTGAACAGTGGAGGAGGCAGGGGCAGTTCCTAAGCCTCCAGGGCCACAGCCACAGTGGAGTGTCGTTGCCCAGAATCTGTCCCCGAGAGGACCAGGTGGGGACGCCCCCCAGAGTGCCTGGGCTCTGTCTGGGAGCTGCCTGGACAGAGTGGGGACTCTGCCTGCATGTCACAGTGATGGGCGCAGCGGAGCCCCCACTCTGGTCTTCCCAGGCGGCAGTAGCAGACCCTAGAGTGGGCTCCTGTCAAGCGTCTCGGCTTCCCCACCTGCCTCTTGCCCTGTGGACAATGTGACTGGGCCGCCCCGGGCATCTCTGCAAGGGACCCAGCTCCCACCAGCACCTGGCATCTCAGGGGAGCCTTCTCAGGCCCCCCAGCTGGGCCTGTGGCTGTGGCTTCCCTGCCCCTCCAGGGTTCAGAAGGAGCAGCTTGGCTCAGCAGCCGGGCCCCTGAGACCCCCAGAAATTCTCTGGCCAGAGACAGGACAGCAGCACAGGGGGCTGGCCAGGAGGGGAGTACTTTTAGGGGTGTGGGGAGTGACGCATTTTCAAGGTCTTTCAACTGTGGCACGGACCAGAGCGGTGGTTTCTGTGAAGCTGGGTCCTGACCAGCACCTACTGAGGTGCTGACTGAGGGGGCCCCCGTACCAGGACGCCGGGACACCAGCCTTGCCACTCTCTGCTGTTGTCATTATTACTGAGGACGGCGTACTAGGCACCAGAGGCCTTGCAGGTGCTTCTCCTGCGTCCTGCCAGGTGAGCAACCTTGCACCCATCCTGCACAGAGGTCAGGAAATGCCCGAGGTCGCATTGCCAGTAAAGGGCCCATAGGAATCCGAGCTTTTCCAGCAGAGCCAGACCAGAGGCTCCACTGCCCCGCCGTGACCTTCCTCGTGACCTTGGCAACGCGGGCAGCTTCTCTGAACTGCTGGGTCCTCACCCTGGAAACGGGCGGTAGTATCTCTGACCCCAGCCCCAGCCTCACGGTCCCCAAGGACACCCACTCCCCAGGTACCAATGGGCAGGCACGTGGCGCAGGGCACAAGGCTGTCCCTCTTTCAGAAGGTGCCGGAAGGAGCGGACACTCCCTGAGCGCAACTCTGAGGAACAGAACGCAGGGGGGTGGGGGGGGCGTGAGGAGCATGGCCTTGGCACCCTTGAAACTGGAGCACCAAGTCACCGGCAAATGGCCCCCGTGACCCCAGAGACGATAGTGGCCGTCTCACGGGGCGACTGGGCAGGTGGCCCTCAGTGGAGGAGGCTGGGCTCGCCTTCCTGGCGGCTCCAAGGACAGGCGGGCACAGGGCACCCGAGGAAGCGAGGCCTGGGGCACCCTGCCTTGTGCGTGCACAGGAGACCTACTCACCGTCCCCGCGCCCCGGCCGCCGTCCTCACTGGTCCAGCAGCAGGAGGGAGCCCCAGACACGCAGCCCCAGGACGCGTTCAGGTGGAGGCGGCATTGGGACTGAGGGCAAGGGGGCGGGCGGGGCGGGTCACCGCTGCGCCGGCAAAAGGGGAAGAGGCCGAGCTGGGAGCCGGGAAGGGGCTGGTCAGCGGGTCTCACCTCGCCCAGCGGGAGGCCAGAGGCGTGGGTTCTGCTCCGAGCGCACCCCCGCCGCCCCCCTCCGATGACCTCATTTCTTCCCAGCTCGAGGTCCAACCTGGCCAAGGCCGGGAGACCGGGGTTCAGAACAGCCCCTCAGCGTGGGGGCCGCGAGGAAGGCCCCGAGGCCTGCGGGGTCCGGGCAGGGGCGAGGGCGGGGGAGGAGCAGCAGCGGGGCGCCCCCACGCGGGGTGGAAGGTGCGGGGAAGGCAGGCTGGGTGGCTCGTGGCTGCGGCCGCCCGTGGACCAGGTCTGCATGCATGCGCACCGCACCCAACGCGCCCACCGGTCAGGCGCGCGGAGCGAGGTGTCGCAGGCCGCCCGGTCCAGGCTGAGCGGAGGGCAGGCTCCTGGAGCTCCTGGGGGAGGTGGGATGGTCCGCACCGAGGCCACTGGCCCTTCGCAGAACAGCGAGAGAGGCGAGGAGGGTGGGTGACCTCCCCGCTGACCCGAGTTCCATTCTGACACCAGTGCCTGTCAGCAAACCCGCTCTGCCCAGAGGAGGGGGCTTTCGGTTATAAGCCATGGACCGTGGGGTGGGGACAGTGTGAGGAGGCCCCTGGCTCCCCAGAGCACATCCAAAGCAGATGGCACCGCCCCCCGGACGCCGTCAAGTGACGAATACACCCCTACAAGTCACCCCTGACTCAACAGAGACAGCCCTGCGCCAACCCCTGCCCGCTCAGCCCCTGCTCTCCTGGGCCTGGACCAAGGCTGCTCACAGCACCTGCAGGCCCAGCCGGGTCTCAAATGGGCACAGCGTCCCCCAGGGCTGTCTGGACCTGGCTTTGTCCAAAATCCGCACCTGCCGAGGCAGGCCGGCTGCAGTGGCCACCTGCCCAACCCCCTCCTCTGAATATGCTAAGGCTGTGGCCGCAGAGGCCCCAGGAGGGACCAGAACCAGGGCCTCTGCCTCCCTCAGCTGCTGCCAGCCTCGCAGCCTCAGCTGCACACCTCACCACGCCCCAGACTGTCACATATGTGCACACCTTGTCCTCAGTGGCTGCTTTGTCTGCAAACCCCAGATGGTGAGCCCAGGTCTCTTCTGAGTGAGACCTGCTTCTCGGGGCAGGCACGGGGTGCTCAGGCCACACTGACCCCGCGGCAGGGCTGCTGGGATAAGGACGAAACCGCCCTTCTCATCACAGACAGAAGACAGGGCAGTGGGAGGCCCCTGGCCACCTGCCAGCGCCCGTTCCAGCGCCCCAGCCAGAACCCAGTAAGCACCAGCCTGAGGGCCCCGGGTGACCATGTCCCGGGCTGGAGGGAGCCGCAGAACCACAAGATGGCCACTTGCGCATGGTAGTGTGGGGACATGGGAGGGGACCTGGAGTGGCAGAGGCGTCCCACGGTCCCAGTCCCCAGCCTCGCCCCATCCTGGCTTTGTCTCACCCAACAAGGAAACTTCCCCATGCCGCCCTAGGAAGGCTCTGGCCATGAGTGCTGAGTTACCAGGCACCAAAGCTTCTGTGCCTCTGCGGCCCCAACCACTGAGGGGACGAGCAGGAGGGAAGCCCCCAGCCCGGACGTGTGCAGCCCCTACCCCCTGCCTGGCCCACGGGATTTTCTCCCAGGGGAGCAAGATGTCACCTGGAGTCCCCACGGTGACAGCACCAGGGCAAGTCCCCAGCTCCTGACCGCAGGAAGCCAGAGGCTCCCCCCCCCCCTGCCCAGTCCCTGCTCACTCCAGCAGCAATGGACAGCGGCCATCCACGGCTGTGCAGAAGGTGTGGCATTCCTTCTTGGCACAGAGCTCAGGGGACACAGTGTTTTCCACGAAACCAGGCTGTTCAAGCCAATAAGTGAAATGCTCTCTTGGTCACCAGCATGAAAGTCACCTCCCCGTCACCGCACACCAGGGCCCAGTGGAAGTGACAGCCGCTCTCTGCAGGGTCCCTGGCCCTGGCCCTGAACCTACAAGGGGCTGAGATGGCTGCTCTCACTTGTCCAAACCGCCCTCTGACCAACTGACCTACAGATTCTGATCCTGAGAAATGCACCGTACACTTAATGTGGATTTATTTTTAAGTCACTCCATTCCGAGAATTCCACAGCCACCCTAGAGATGCTTAGAAGCACGAGGAAGAGGAAAAGCAGGCTGGGAACTCAGGCGTGCACTGCCCTGGCCCCCCGCTGTTCCAGGACCCCACTCTCAGGTTTCCCCCTGCCCCAGCCCCCACCCACAGATCCCCGTGGCCCCCGACCCTGGCACTGTGAGTTCCCCTCCCGTGGCCACTCTGCTGTGGCAGGGTGCCCTGCCTCCCGCCCTGAGCACTCAGGTTTCTAGGTCACCGACAGCCACAGACCACACTGGCTGCGGCCACTGCTTTCCCCAGACCAAGGTCATTGGCCAGAGTCACCACTTCTGTTTGGCACTTCCTGGAACACAGTGGCCTGACCACAGAATCACAGGAGTCCACATGCCCATGGCAACTTTCAAAAATCCTCAGCGCTAGGGGAAATTTACCAAGAACTCCTTCCTTGTCCCACCTGCTTTCTGCGTAGGCATGCTGGGGGTATACAGGCCAGACCGCACAGCGTTCCTGGCCCTTCCCTGCGCTTCGGAGCCCGACACTGAGGCTGGTACTCGGCTACGGTCCAGGTGGGGCAGTTGACATTTGCCCCGCAATTCGCCAGACACCTAATGCTCTCTGCTCCCGACCCCGGGCTAGCCTGGGCCCTGCCTCCGATACCAGACTAGCCTGGGCCCTGATGGGAGTTATAGGTGGTGAGGATGCCCTCTGCCCAGCCGGGTCAGGGAGAACAGTGACTTGGGAAGTCACCAGCAAGGTGATCAGCCATGCTGACAGTTGCTTCCTGGCTGTCGTGGGGCTGGGCAGCGGTTTCCCGAGCCGACCAGAAGTCCCAGCCCCACGACGGTCTTGCCCTGACCATGTACTGCACCTTTAGCACCTTTCCTGGACCTTAAAAGCTTTCCCTTGAGACGCCATGTCCCCTCGAGATAAGAGGACACAGCTCCCCAGCCGGGAGCAGCCGGGAGACCCCACCGTGTGTCAGCCCCCACTGAGGCCCAGGGCCCGGCCAGAGGGAGGACGGCCCGTGCGTGGCGGCATCCCACACAGGACTCGCCGAGAACCATCGCAGAAGCCCCGAGTGAGGGCCCTGTCACCCAGTTTCTGATTCCCACTCACTGGCAGCAGGTACTGAGTGTCACCGGGCTTCTGTAACCAAAGGGCACATTTTACCGGAAAATGAAAAGCAAATGCCTGACCAAAGCCCCCAGCATGCCCACCCTCATGTTCCCTGACTGTCCCTGGGCCAGTGACCACAGAGCCCTCTCCTGGGACCCAATCTGTGGCCCTGGAGTTCTGGTGGCCACTGAGGGGCCCACAGGGCATGGGGACGTGTGACCGAGGAGGTTTAAGGACATGTGACGGGTGAGATGGGGTGTGTTTGTTCCTGGTGCTGAAACTCCAGGGAGAGCACGCAGCATCCTCTGCTTTGGGGTTCGCGCTTGGGGCCCCTCACCACACACCCTGGGGGCCACCTCTCCCTGATGCCTTAGGGTTTGGACCCAGCTCCAGGGCACAGGACGGAGGTGGGAGCCTCTGGTCACTCCCCATTGGGAGCCCTCCAAGTCTTAGTCGAACCCCAGCCTTTCTCACTGACTCCCGCGTGCACCCAAGCATGTCTGAAAATCTGACCACACACAAGGACATGGGGAACAGAGATGGTGCCCCCAACCCTGGGAGCCTCTGAGGCCCGCCCCAAAGGGTCTGCTCTCCGCCCAGGAGCAGCTCAGGGCCGAGGGTCTCATGAAGGCACATTGCTGCCGCTTGGGGAGACCTAGGGCAGAGCCTGCTCGCTCTCTGGGGGTTGAGCTACATGAAGAGACCCCCCTCGATTTGAGATCAGGATAACTCAGCCAGGTTTCAGAAGCAGGAAGCTTCGGGGGTCCCATGTGAGGCTGCTTTTAGCGTCGGAGGGGTCAGGGAGCAGCGAGGCCATGCCCCAGGTCCCCCCAAGTTGCCAAAAGCCACCCTGGGGTTGAGTGTCATGGGCATGCGTCCGGATGGGGCCTGCCTCTCCATGGGGACAGGCCTGGGGCGGGTACCAGGGGCTGGCTCAGCTTCTTTAGGTGAAAATGGCAGCTTGCACTGTTTAGTGGGCTGCCCTGTAACTGGTTCAGAGATGTTCCCTGAGGCCACACCAAGCGGGGGCCACAGCGCCGCTTCCTAGATGCCAGGAAGCTTGTCTGCCTTCTCCTCTCAGTTCCTGAAGGGATCCGGCGGAGTGGGACTAATATCCCCACTGGAGAACCGAGACCACTGTGGCCTGGAGGCCACAGGAGGTGGAGGGGCCGGGATCTGACCCCAGGCTGTCGGGTGAAAGGTCTGGATTCCTAACTGTCCACCACATGCAGGGGCAGCCTGACCCAGGGTCGGCGGGTGGTGTCTACCTCACTTGTCCATTTGCTCACTGCAGCCCGGACAGAGCCCCTCAGAACTTGGGAGAGGCAGGTGGGTGCCCGTAACCATCACTGGACAAACAGATGGTGGACGGAAGGGTGGGTGGATGAAGTGGCTTGAGCCTGTTGTCACAGTCACTCGGATGAGCCTGCTTCCAGGGGCGACAAGTCAACAGCCCCTGCTCCTATGTCCTTAAATCAAAAGTGATGCCGGTGAGGAGAGACTGGGGCCTCCGGACGAACGTCCATTAGGCTGGGCCTGGAGGCGATGCAATAAAATGGGGAATTTGCAAGTGCCAGACAGGCGGCTTCCTCAAATGTTGTCTGCAGTGGTGGTTGCCCCGGAACAAGCCACTTGGGGAGCAAATGCGCCCCAAGAAAGAGGTGTCTGACCCCACGCCTGACAGGGCCACTT